TGATGGGGTGATGGGGGGATATGGGGGATATGGGGGTCATGGGGGGATATGGGGCAAAAGGGGGATATGGGGGGTATGGGGGTATGGGGGGGTATGGAGGGATGGGGGTCATGGGGGGTATGGGGGGATATGGGGGATATGGGGGGGATGGGGTGATGGGATATGGGGGATATGGGGGTCATGGGGGGATATGGGGCAAAAGGGGGATATGGGGGGGTATGGGGGTATGGGGGGTATGGGGGGATATAGGGGGATAGGGGGCATATGGGGGATATGGGGGGTATGGGGACATAGGGGGGGTAGGGGGAATATGGGGGTATGGGGGGGGTATGGGGGGATGGGGGATATGGGGGGGATGGGGGATATGGGGGCACAGGGGGATATGGGGGGATATGGGGGGTATGGGGGTCATGGGGGGGATGGGGGATATGGGGGGGATGGGGGGTGATGGGGGTCATGGGGGGATATGGGGGGGATGGGGGATATGGGGGGGATATGGGGGGTATGGGGGGTATGGGGGATATGGGGGATATGGGGGCACAGGGGGATATGGGGGGATATGGGGGGTATGGGGGGTATGGGGGTCATGGGGGGGATGGGGGGATATGGGGGGGATGGGGGGATATGGGGCAAAAGGGGGATATGGGGGTATGGGGGGGGTATGGAGGGATGGGGGTCATGTGGGGTATGGGGGGATATGGGGGGTATGGGGGGATATGGGGGGGATGGGGTGATGGGGGTCATGGGGGGATATGGGGGATATGGGGGGATATGGGGGATATGGGGGTCATGGGGCATAGGGGCAATATGGGGGATAGGGGGGATGGGGGGATATGGGGTCATGGGGGCATAGGGGCAATATGGGGGATATGGGGGGTATGGGGGATATGGGGGGATATGGGGGTCATGGGGGGGATGGGGATATGGGGGGATATGGGGCAAAAGGGGGATATGGGGGATATGGGGGATATGGGGGGATGGGGTGATGGGGGTCATGGGGGGTATGGGGGATATGGGGGGTATGGGGGTCATGGGGGGGATGGGGGTCATGGGGGATATGGGGGCACGGGGGGATATGGGGGTATGGGGGGATATGGGGGTATGGGGGGTATGGGGGTATGGGGGGATATGGGAACATGAGGGCATAGGGGGGATATGGGGGATATGGGGGGTATGGGGGATATGGGGTGTATGGGGTCATGGGGGGATAGGGGGGGATATGGGGGATTGGGGGGATATGGGGGTATGGGGGTTATGGGGGATATGGGGGGGATGGGGGTCATGGGCGTATGGGGGGATATAGGGGGATAGGGGGCATATGGGGGATATGGGGGTATGGGGGCATAGGGGGGGTAGGGGGAATATGGCGGTATGGGGGGTATGGGGGATATGGGAGGATATGGGGGTCATGGGGGCATAGGGGCGATATGGGGGTTATGGGGGCATAGGTGGGATTTGGGAACATGGGGGCATAAGGGGGATATAGAAGACATGAAGGGATATGGGGGCATAGAGGGGATATGGGAAGCATGGGGATATAGGGGGACATGGGGGAATATGGGGGGATATGGGGAATATGGGGGTCATGGGGGCATATGGGGGATATGGGGGTCATGACGCATAGGAGGGATATGGGAACATGGGAGCATAAGGGGGATATAGGAGACATGAGGGGATATGGGGGCATAGAGGGGATATGTGAGATATGGGGGCCATCACGACATGGGAGCATAAGAGGGATATGGGGGGCATAGGGGGGATATGGGGAGCATGGGGACATAGGGGGGATATGGGGGGCATCAGGACATGGAGGTGTAAGGGAGATATAGGGGACATGGGGGCATAAGGGGGATATGGGGACATGGGGCATAAGGGGGATATAGGGACATGGGGCCATAGGGGGGCCATGGGGGCATGGGGGGATATGGGGATATGGGGGGCATAAGGGGGACATGGGGGCATAAGGGGGATATAAGGACATGGGGGGATACATGGGATACGGGGGGCATCGGGATGGGGGGACATAAGTGTGATATAGGGGACATAAAAGGACATGGACACATGGGGGGGCCATAGGGGCGACACGCAGAATATGTGGGGCACAGGGTGGGGGGGGGAACGAGACAAGGATCCATAGTGGGGCATGAAGGCACTGTTGCCATAGGGCCCGCAGGCACAGGGGGCAGGGTGCTATGGGGCTGGGAGGGGGGGGGGCAATGGGGTCCCGGGGTGCTGCCCCCCCAACCCCAGCCCCACACCTGGTACTGGGTCTTGTCGATGCCGATGAGGAAGACGAGCTCGGCGAGGAAGAGGCTGGCGCAGAGGTGCTTGGGGTCGTGGTGCGCTCGGGGGGCAGCCCCCGCAGGCAGCACAGCGCCGCCAGCGACACCCCCAGGCACACCAGGGCCACCACGATGCCCACCCAGGAGATCACCGACAGCAGCACCGCGTCCAAGCGGCCCTGCTGCTGTGGGGCGGAAGTGGGGCAGAGGGGTCAGCGATGGGGGGAAGAGATGGAGCATCCCATAGTGACCCATTGCAACCCTATGGGTACCACACAGTGACCCATTGCGTCCCTATGGGTACCACACAGTGACCCATTGCGTCCCTATGGGTACCACACAGTGACCCATTGCAACCCTATGGGTACCACACAGTGACCCATTGCGTCCCTATAGGTACCAAACAGTGACCCATTGCATCCCTATGGGTACCACACAGTGACCCATTGCAGCCCTATGGGCATCCCATAGTGACCCGTTGCATCCCTATGGGTACCACACAGTGACCCATTGCATCCCTATGGGTACCACACAGTGACCCATTGCAACCCTATGGGTACCAAACAGTGACCCATTGCAACCCTATGGGTACCAAACAGTGACCCATTGCATCCCTATGGGTACCAAACAGTGACCCATTGCAACCCTATGGGTACCACACAGTGACCCATTGCGTCCCTATAGGTACCACACAGTGACCCATTGCAACCCTATGGGTACCAAACAGTGACCCATTGCATCCCTATGGGTACCACACAGTGACCCATTGCAACCCTATGGGTACCAAACAGTGACCCATTGCGTCCTATGGGTACCACACAGTGACCCATTGCGTCCCTATGGGTACCACACAGTGACCCATTGCAACCCTATGGGTACCACACAGTGACCCATTGCATCCCTATGGGTACCACACAGTGACCCATTGCAACCCTATGGGTACCAAACAGTGACCCATTGCATCCCTATGGGTACCACACAGTGACCCATTGCGTCCCTATGGGTACCACACAGTGACCCATTGCGTCCCTATGGGTACCACACAGTGACCCATTGCGTCCCTATGGGTACCACACAGTGACCCATTGCAACCCTATGGGTACCAAACAGTGACCCATTGCATCCCTATGGGTACCACACAGTGACCCATTGCAGCCCTATGGGTACCACACAGTGACCCATTGCAACCCTATGGGTACCAAACAGTGACCCATTGCATCCCTATGGGTACCACACAGTGACCCATTGCAGCCCTATGGGTACCACACAGTGACCCATTGCAACCCTATGGGGTACCAAACAGTGACCCATTGCATCCCTATGGGTACCACACAGTGACCCATTGCATCCCTATGGGTACCAAACAGTGACCCATTGCAACCCTATGGGTACCAAACAGTGACCCATTGCAACCCTATGGGTACCACACAGTGACCCATTGAAGCCCTATGGGCATCCCACAGTGACCCATTGCATCCTATGGGTACCACACAGTGACCCATTGCAGCCCTATGGGCATCCCATAGTGACCCATTGCAACCCTATGGGTACCAAACAGTGACCCATTGCAACCCTATGGGTACCAAACAGTGACCCATTGCATCCCTATGGGTACCACACAGTGACCCATTGCAGCCCTATGGGCATCCCATAGTGACCCATTGCATCCCTATGGGTACCAAACAGTGACCCATTGCAGCCTATGGGTACCACACAGTGACCCATTGCAGCCCTATGGGTACCACACAGTGACCCATTGCAGCCCTATGGGTACCACACAGTGACCCATTGCGTCCCTATGGGTACCACACAGTGACCCATTGCAGCCCTATGGGTACCACACAGTGACCCATTGCAGCCCTATGGGCATCCCATAGTGACCCATTGCAGCCCTATGGGTACCACACAGTGACCCATTGCAGCCCTATGGGCATCCCATAGTGACCCATTGCAACCCTATGGGTACCACACAGTGACCCATTGCAGCCCTATGGGCATCCCATAGTGACCCATTGCATCCCTATGGGTACCACACAGTGACCCATTGCATCCCTATGGGTACCACACAGTGACCCATTGCAGCCCTATGGCCATCCCATAGTGACCCATTGCATCCCTAAGAGCATCCCATAGTGACCCATTGCATCCCTATGGGTACCACACAGTGACCCATTGCAGCCCTATGGCCATCCCATAGTGACCCATTGCATCCCTAAGAGCATCCCATAGTGACCCATTGCATCCCTATGGGTACCACACAGTGACCCATTGTGTCTCTATGGGAATCACACAGTGACCCATTGCATCCCAAAGAGCATCCCATAGTGACCCATTGCATCCCTAAGAGCTTCCCATAGCGACCCATTGCATCCCAAAGAGCATCCCACAGTGACCCATTGCGTCCCTTTGGGTACCACACAGTCACCCATTGCGTCCCTATGGGAATCACACAGTGACCCATTGCATCCAAAGAGCATCCCATAGTGACCCATTGCATCCCTATGTTCACCCCCATCGCATCCCTATGCCCCCCCCCTCACATCCCTATGGGCACCCCCATCACATCCCTATGGCACCCCAAAGTGACCCATTGCATCCCTGTGTTCACCCCCCTCACATCCCTATGGCACCCCCATCGCATCCCTATGGTACCCCCTCACATCCCTATGGCACCCCCCTCACATCCCTATGGGCACCCCCATCGCATCCCTATGGGCATCCCCATCGCATCCCTATGCCCCCCCCTCACATCCCTATGGCACCCCCATCGCATCCCTATGGGCATCCCCATCGCATCCCTATGGCACCCCCCTCACATCCCTATGGCACCCCCCTCACATCCCTATGGCACCCCCATCGCATCCCTATGGTACCCCCTCACATCCCTATGCCCCCCCCATCACATCCCTATGGGCACCCCCATCACATCCCTATGGCACCCCCATCGCATCCCTATGGCCCCCCCCCCGCATCCCTATGGCACCCCCATCACATCCCTATGGCACCCCCATCACATCCCTATGCCCCCCCCCCGCATCCCTATGGCACCCCCATCACATCCCTATGGTACCCCCATCACATCCCTATGGCACCCCCATCACATCCCTATGCCCCCCCCCCCGCATCCCTATGGCACCCCCCTCCGCATCCCTATGGCACCCCCCTCACATCCCTATGGCACCCCCATCACATCCCTATGCCCTCCCCCACCGCATCCCTATGGCACCCCCATCACATCCCTATGGGCATCCCCATCGCATCCCTATGCCCCCCCTTCACATCCCTATGGCACCCCCCTCACATCCCTATGGCACCCCCCTCACATCCCTATGGCACCCCCATCACATCCCTATGGGCATCCCCATCGCATCCCTATGCCCCCCTTCACATCCCTATGGCACCCCCCTCACATCCCTATGGCACCCCCATCACATCCCTATGGCACCCCCCTCACATCCCTATGGCACCCCCATCACATCCCTATGCCCTCCCCCACCGCATCCCTATGGCACCCCCATCACATCCCTATGGGCATCCCCATCGCATCCCTATGCCCCCCCTTCACATCCCTATGGCACCCCCCTCACATCCCTATGGCACCCCCCTCACATCCCTATGGCACCCCCATCACATCCCTATGCCCCCCCCCCCCCCATCACATCCCTATGGTACCCCCATCACATCCCTATGCCCCCCCCCCGCATCCCTATGGCACCCCCATCACATCCCTATGGCACCCCCCTCACATCCTTATGGCACCCCCATCACATCCCTATGGCACCCCATCACATCCTATGGCACCCCCATCACATCCCTATGCCCCCCCCCGCATCCCTATGGCACCCCCATCACATCCCTATGGCACCCCCCTCACATCCTTATGGCACCCCCATCACATCCCTATGGCACCCCCATCGCATCCCTATGGCACCCCCATCACATCCCTATGTTCACCCCCCTCACATCCCTATGGTACCCCCATCACATCCCTATGGCACCCCCATCACATCCCTATGGCACCCCCCTCACATCCCTATGGCACCCCCATCACATCCCTATGGGCATCCCCATCGCATCCCTATGCCCCCCCTTCACATCCCTATGGCACCCCCCTCACATCCCTATGGCACCCCCATCACATCCCTATGGCACCCCCCTCACATCCCTATGGCACCCCCATCACATCCCTATGCCCTCCCCCACCGCATCCCTATGGCACCCCCATCACATCCCTATGGGCATCCCCATCGCATCCCTATGCCCCCCCTTCACATCCCTATGGCACCCCCCTCACATCCCTATGGCACCCCCCTCACATCCCTATGGCACCCCCATCACATCCCTATGCCCCCCCCCCCCCCATCACATCCCTATGGTACCCCCATCACATCCCTATGCCCCCCCCCGCATCCCTATGGCACCCCCATCACATCCCTATGGCACCCCCCTCACATCCTTATGGCACCCCCATCACATCCCTATGGCACCCCCATCACATCCCTATGGCACCCCCATCACATCCCTATGCCCCCCCCCCGCATCCCTATGGCACCCCCATCACATCCCTATGGCACCCCCCTCACATCCTTATGGCACCCCCATCACATCCCTATGGCACCCCCCTCACATCCCTATGGCACCCCTATTGCATCCCTATGGTCCCCCCTCACATCCCTATGGCACCCCCCTCACATCCCTATGGCACCCCCCTCACATCCCTATGGCACCCCATCACATCCCTATGGCACCCCCATCGCATCCCTATGGCACCCCCATCACAACCCTATGGCACCCCCATCGCATCCCTATGGGCACCCCAAAGTGACCCATCACATCCCTATGTTCACCCCCCTCACATCCCTATGGCACCCCATCACATCCCTATGTTCACCCCCCTCACATCCCTATGGCACCCCCATCACATCCCTATGGCACCCCCCTCACATCCCTATGGCACCCCCATCACATCCCTATGCCCCCCCCCATCACATCCCTATGGCACCCCATAGGCGCCATGGCCCCGCGGTGCTCACGCTGTCGTGGTGCGCCATGAGCAGGGCGAAGTTGGTGAGGTGGCTGCAGGCGCAGGACGTGTGGGTGCTGTTGGTGCTGAGCCGCCGGCAGCCCTGCGTGGACCAGTGCCCGGCCATGGAGCGCTCCGAGTAGTTCCAGAACGAGCAGTTGGCGTTGAAGTGGTTCTTGGCCTGCGGAGGGGGGCCATGGGGGTCAGTGGGGGGCCATGGGGGGCAATGGGCATCAATGGGGGTCAATGGGGTCCAATGGGGGGCAACGGACATCAATAGGGGGGTGTCAACGGGCATCAATGGGGTCAATGGGCATCAATGGGGGCAATGGGCATCAATGGGGGTCAATGGGGGTCCAATGGGGGGCAACGGACATCAATAGGGGGGTGTCAACGGGCATCAATGGGGTCAATGGGCATCAATGGGGGTCAATGGGCATCAATAGGGGTCAATGGGCATCAATGGGGGGCAATGGGCATCAATAGGGGTCAATAGGCATCAATGGGGGGCAACAGGCATCAACAGGGGTCAGTGGGGGTCAATGGGCATAAATGGGGGGCAACGGGCATCAATAGGGGTCAATGGGCATCAATGGGGGTCAATGGGCATCAATGTGAGGCAATGGACATCAGTAGGGGTCAATGGGCATCAATGGGGGGCAACAGACATCAATGGGAGTCAATGGGCATAAATGGGGGTCAATGGGGGGAAACAGACATCAATGGGGGTCAATGGGCATCAATGGGAGGCAACAGACATCAGTAGGGGTCAATGGGCATCAATGGGGGTCAATGGGCATCAATAGGGGTCAATGGGCATCAATGGGCATCAATGGGGGGCAACGGGCATCAATAGGGGTCAATGGGCATCAATGGGGGGCAACGGGCATCAATAGGGGTCAGTGGGGGTCAATGGGCATAAATGGGGGGCAATGGGCATCAATAGGGGTCAGTGGGGGTCAATGGGCATCAATGGGCATCAATGGGAGGCAATGGACATCAGTAGGGGTCAATGGGCATCAATGGGGGGCAACAGACATCAATGGGGGTCAATGGGCATAAATGGGGGGCAACGGGCATCAATAGGTGTCAATGGGCATCAATGGGGGTCAATGGGCATCAATGGGAGGCAATGGACATCAGTAGGGGTCAATGGGCATCAATGGGGGGCAACAGACATCAAATGGGGGTCAATGGGCATAAATGGGGGTCAATGGGTGGAAACAGACATCAATGGGGTCAATGGGCATCAATGGGGGCAACGGACATCAATAGGGGTCAATGGGCATCCAATGGGGGTCAATGGGCATCAAAGGGGGGCAACGGACATCAATAGGGGTCAATGGGCATCAATGGGGGTAACGGACAATCAATAGGGGTCAATGGGCATCAATGGGAGTCAATGGGCATCAATGGGGGCAATGGGGGGGCAACGGACATCAATGGTTGTCAATGGGCATCAATGAGGACAATGGACATCAATGGGTGTCAATGGGCATCAATGGGGGGCAACGGACATCAATGGGAGTCAATGGGCATCAATGGGCATCAATGGGGGGCAACGGACATCAATGGGAGTCAATGGGCATCAATGGGGGTCAATGGGGGGCAACGGACATCAATGGGGGTCAATGGGCATCAATGAGGGACAATGGACATCAATGGGTGTCAATGGGCATCAATGGGGGGCAACGGGCATCAATGGGGGTCAATGGGCATCAATGGGCACCAATGGGGGTCAATGGGGGCAACGAACATCAATAGGGGTCAATGGGCATCAATGGGGGCAACGGACATCAATAGTGGTCAATGGGTGTCAGTGGGCATCAATGGGTGTCAATGGTCATCAGTGGGGGTCAATGGGGGTCAATACGGTCAAATGGGTGTCGGTGGGTGTCACTGTGGTCAATGGCTGTAAATGGGGTCAATGGGATCAATGGGTATCAATGGGTGTCAGTGGGTGTCAAAGGGTGTCAGTGGATGTCAAAGGGTGTCTGTGGGTGTCAATGGGGTCAATGGGTGTCAATGGGCATCAATGGGGGTCAATGGGCATCAATGGGGTCAATACGGGTAAATGGGTGTCGGTGGGTGTCACTGCAGTCAGTGGCTGCAAATGGGGTCAATGGGATCAATGGGTATCAATGGGTGTCAAGGGGTGTCAATGGCTGTCAAAGGGTGTCAATGGATGTCAAAGGGTGTCGATGGGTGTCAATGAGGTCAATGGGTGTCAATGGCTGTCAAAGGGTGTCAGTGGGCGTCAATGGGTGTCAGTGGGCGTCAATGGGTGTCAGTGGGATCAATGGGTGTCAGTGGGCGTCAATGGCTGTCAATGGGGTCAATGGACATCAATGGGGTCAATGGCTGTCAATGGATGTCAATGGTGTCAATGAATGTCAATGGGGTCAATGGGGTCAATGGGGTCAATGGGTGTCAATGAGGTCAGTGGGTGTCAGTGGGGGTCAATGGGTGTCAGTGGGTGTCCATGTGGTCAATGAGGTCAGTACGTGTCAATGGCTGTCAATGGGTTTCAATGAGGTCAATGGGCGTCAGTGGGGTCAAATGGGTGTCAGTGGGGTCAATGGATGTCAGTGGCTGTCAATGGGGTCAATGGACATCCATGGGTCAATGGCTGTCAGTGGATGTCAATGGGGTCAATAGGTGTCAGTGGGTGTCAATGGGTGTCAGTTGGGTGTCCATGAGGTCAGTGGGTGTCAGTGGGTGTCAATGAGGTCAATGGGTGTCAATGGCTGTCAATGGCTGTCAATGGGTGTCAATGAGGTCAATGGGTGTCAATGAGGTCAATGGTTGTCAATGGCTGTCAATGGCTGTCAATGAGGTCAATGGGTGTCAGTGGGTGTCAATGGGTGTCAATGAGCTCAATGGCTGTCAATGGGTGTCAGTGAGGTCAATGGGTGTCAGTGGGTGTCAAAGGGTGTCAATGGGTGTCAATGGGTGTCAATGAGGTCAATGGCTGTCAATGGCTGTCAATGGCTGTCAATGGGTGTCAATGAGGTCAATGGCTGTCAATGGGTGTCAATGGGTGTCAATGAGCTCAATGGCTGCCAATGGGTGTCAATGGCTGTCAATGGGTGTCAATGACCTCAATGGCTGCCAATGGGTGTCAATGGGTGTCAGTGGGTGTCAGTGGGTGTCAATGAGCTCAATGGGTGTCAATGGGTGTCAATGAGCTCAATGGGTGTCAATGAGGTCAATGGGTGTCAATGGATCTCAATGGGTCTCAATGGGTCTCAATGAGCTCAATGGGTGTCAATGGGTGTCAATGAGCTCAATGGGTGTCAATGGGTGTCAATGAGCTCAATGGGCGTCCCTGGGGGTCCCACCTCGAGGTGGGGCAGGGTGAAGGTGACGGGGTCCATGAGGAACACGCGGCTCGACTCCTTGTTGATGGAGGCGGCGATGACCTGGGAGTTGACGACCAATGGGGGGGCGCGGGCGCCCCCCTCGCCCCCCAGGCGCACGGACGCGTTCTCGGTGGGCAGAACAGCCCCAGGTTGTTGTAGAGGATGAACACGACCTTCACCACCCCTAGGGGGGGACACAGCCCCACATCGAGACCCACACTGAGACCCACACATAGCCCCACATAGAGACCCGCACACAGCCCCACACTGAGACCCACACACAGCCCCACACTGAGACCCACACACAGCCCCACACTGAGACCCGCACACAGCCCCACACTGAGACCCACACACAGCCCCACATAGAGACCCGCACACAGCCCACACTGAGACCCACACACAGCCCCACATAGAGACCCGCACACAGCCCCACATAGAGACCCGCACACAGCCCCACACTGAGACCCACACACAGCCCCACATAGAGACCCGCACACAGCCCTACACTGAGACCCGCACACAGCCCCACACTGAGACCCACACACAGCCCCACACTGAGACCCACACACAGCCCCACACTGAGACCCACACACAGCCCCACATAGAGACCCGCACACAGCCCCACACTGAGACCCGCACACAGCCCCACATAGAGACCCGCACACAGCCCCACACTGAGACCCACACACAGCCCCACACTGAGACCCACACACAGCCCCACACTGAGACCCACACACAGCCCCACATAGAGACCCGCACACAGCCCCACACTGAGACCCACACACAGCCCCACACTGAGACCCACACACAGCCCCACATAGAGACCCGCACACAGCCCCACACTGAGACCCGCACACAGCCCCACACTGAGACCCACACACAGCCCCACACTGAGACCCACAAACAGCCCCACATCGAGACCCACACACAGCCCCACATCGAGCCCCGCACTGAGACCCACACACAGCCCCACACACAGCCCCACATAGAGACCCGCACACAGCCCCACATAGAGCCCCATACAGAGCCCCACAGAGAGCCCCACAGAGAGACCCGCACACAGCCCCACATGGAGCCCCACATAGAGACCCGCACACAGCCCCACAGAGAGCCCCACATGGAGCCCCACATAGAGACCCACACACAGCCTCACACACAGCCCCACAGAGAGCCCCACACAGAGACCCACATAGAGCCCCCCCCACAGCCCCACATCAAGCCCTGTGCCCCCATTCCACCACCTCCAGACACTTCTGGGACCTCTGAGACTCCCACAAGACCCCCATAGCCCCCATATCCCCCCATAGCCCCCATACCCCCTATGGCCCCATAGCCCCCATATCCCCCCATAGCCCCCATACCCCCATATCCCCCCATAGCCCCCATATCCCCATGGCCCCATAGCCCCCCATAGCCCCCATACCCCCTATGGCCCCATAGCCCCCCATATCCCCCATACCTCCTATGGCCCCATACCCCCCCACATCCCCCCATAGCCCCCATACCCCCTATGGCCCCATGGCCCCCCATATCCCCCATACCTCCTATGGCCCCATATCCCCCCAGATCCCCCCATAGCCCACATATCCCCTATAGCCCCCATAGCCCCCATATCCCCCATACCCCCTATGCCCCCATATCCCCCCACATATCTCCTATGGCCCCATAGCCCCCCACATCCCCCCATAGCCCCCATACCCCCTATGGCCCCATACCCCCTATGGCCCCATATCCCCCCACATCCCCCCATATCCCCCATACCCCTATAGCCCCTATAGCCCCCATATCCCCCATACCCCTATGGCCCCATATCCCCCCACATCCCCCCATAGCCCCCCATACCCCCCATATCCCCCATATCCCCCCACATCCCCCCATAGCCCCCATACCCCCCATACCCCCCATACCACCCCCCATATCCCCCATATCCCCCCACATCCCCCCATAGCCCCCATACCCCCCATACCCCCCATATCCCCCATATCCCCCATACCCCCCATACCGCCCCATAGCGCCCCTCACCGTTGCGGCTGTTCTGTTTGAGGGTGTTGGCCGACAGCTGGATCACCGTTTCGCCCCCAAATTCCTGGGGGAACACCAGCTCCTGGAGCTGCCCTTCCGTGTTGAGCACCGTCACCTCCAGCACTGTGGGGCACACGCGGACCCATGGATGGGGGCCCCAGCACCCTAGCAGGGAGCTAAGGCTTGGGTATCCCAATGGGGGGAACACTGGGGTCTATGGGCTATGGATGGGGGTCACCCCCATAGCAATGGGTATCCCAATGGGGGGGACACTGTGCTCTATGACCCATAGGTGTGGGTCACACACAGCCATGGGTATCCCAATGGGATGATAGTGGGGTCTATAGCCCATGGGTGTGGGTCACCCCATAACAATGGGTATCCCAATGGGGTGGACAGTGGGGTCTATGGGTCATGGGTGAGGGTCACCCCATAGCAATGGGTATCCCAATGGGGGGGACACTGGGGTCTATGGGTCATGGGTGGGGGTCACCCCATAGCAATGGGCATCCCAATGGGGGGGACAGTGGGGTCTATGGGTCATGGGTGGGGGTCACCCCCATAGCAATGGGTATCCCAATGGGGGACACTGGGGTCTATGGGTCATGGGTGGGGGTCACCCCCATAGCAATGGGTATCCCAATGGGGGGGACACTGGGGTCTATGGGCTATGGGTGGGGGTCACCCCCATAGCAATGGGTATCCCAATGGGGGGGGACACTGTGCTCTATGACCCATAGGTGTGGGTCACACACAGCCATGGGTATCCCAATGGGATGATAGTGGGGTCTATAGCCCATGGGTGTGGGTCACCCCATAACAATGGGTATCCCAATGGGGTGGACACTGGGGTCTATGGGTCATGGGTGAGGGTCACCCCATAGCAATGGGTATCCCAATGGGGGGGACAGTGGGGTCTATGGGTCATGGGTGGGGGTCACCCCCATAGCAATGGGTATCCCAATGGGGGGAAAACATGGGTGGGGGCCACCCCCATAGCAATGGGTATCCCAATGGGGTGGACACTGGGGTCTATGGGTCATGGGTGGGGGCCACCCCCATAGCAATGGGTATCCCAATGGGGGGAACACATGGGTGGGGGTCACCCCCATAGCAATGGGTATCCCAATGGGGGGGACACTGGGGTCTATGGGTCATGGGTGAGGGTCACCCCCATAGCAATGGGTATCCCAATGGGGGGGACACTGGGGTCTATGGGTCATGGGTGAGGGTCACCCCATAGCAATGGGTATCCCAATGGGGGGGACACTGGGGTCTATGGGTCATGGGTGGGGGTCACCCCATAGCAATGGGTATCCCAATGGGGGGGACAGTGGGGTCTATGGGCTATGGATGGGGGTCACCCCCATAGCAATGGGTATCCCAATGGAGGGAACACTGGGGTCTATGGGTCATGGGTGGGGGTCACCCCCATAGCAATGGGTATCCCAATGGGGGGAACACATGGGTGGGGGTCACCCCCATAGCAATGGGTATCCCAATGGGGGGGACACTGGGGTCTATGGGTCATGGGTGGGGGTCACCCCCATAGCAATGGGTATCCCAATGGGGGGGACACTGGGGTCTATGGGTCATGGGTGGGGGTCACCCCCATAGCAATGGGTATCCCAATGGGGGGGACACTGGGGTCTATGGGCTATGGGTGGGGGTCACCCCCATAGCAATGGGTATCCCAATGGGGGGGACAGTGGGGTCTATGGGTCATGGGTGGGGGTCACCCCCATAGCAATGGGTATCCCAATGGGGGGGACACTGTGCTCTATGACCCATAGGTGTGGGTCACACACAGCCATGGGTATCCCAATGGGATGATAGTGGGGTCTATAGCCCATGGGTGTGGGTCACCCCATAACAATGGGTATCCCAATGGGGGGGACACTGGGGTCTATGGGTCATGGGTGGGGGTCAGCCCCATAGCAATGGGTATCCCAATGGGGCAGACAATGGGGTCTATGGGCTATGGGTGGGGGTCACCCCATAGCAATGGGTATCCCAATGGGGTGGACACTGGGGTCTATGGGTCATGGGTGGGGGTCACCCCCATAGCAATGGGTATCCCAATGGGGGGAACACATGGGTGGGGGTCACCCCCATAGCAATGGGTATCCCAATGGGGCAGACAATGGGGTCTATGGGCTATGGGTGGGGGTCATCCCATAGCAATGGGTCTCCCAATGGGGGGGACACTGGGGTCTATAGCCCATTGGTGGGGGTCCCTCCCATAGCAATGGGTCTCCCAATGGGATGCACACTGCTCTCTATGACCCCTCGGTGTGGGTCCCCTCCATAGCAATGAGCCTCCCAGTGGGACGCACACTTCTCTCTCCGACCCACATGTGTGGGTCCCCCCATAGCCATGGGTCTCCCAATGGGGCAGACACTGCTCTCTATGACCCCTCGGTGTGAGTCCCCCCATAGCAATGAGCATCCCAATGGGACGCACACTTCTCTCTCCGACCCACATGTGTGGGTCCCCCCATAGCCATGGGTCTCCCAATGGGGCAGACACTGCTCTCTATGACCCATAGGTGTGAGTCCCCCCATAGCAATGAGCATCCCACTGGGACGCACACTTCTCTCTCCGACCCACACGTGTGGGTCCCTGCCATAGCAATGAGCCTCCCAATGGGACGCACACTGCTCTCTCCGACCCACACGTGTGGGTCCCTGCCATAGCCATGGGTCTCCCAATGGGGCAGACACTGCTCTCTATGACCCATAGGTGTGAGTCCCCCCATAGCAATGAGCCTCCCAATGGGACGCACACTGCTCTCTATGACCCATAGGTGTGAGTCCCCCCATAGCAATGAGCCTCCCAATGGGACACACACTTCTCTCTCCGACCCACACGTGTGGGTCCCTGCCATAGCAATGAGCCTCTCAATGGGACGCACACTTCTCTCTATGACCCATAGGTGTGAGTCCCCCCATAGCAATGAGCCTCCCAATGGGACGCACACTTCTCTCTCCGACCCACATGTGTGGGTCCCCCCATAGCCATGGGTCTCCCAATGGGGCAGACACTGCTCTCTATGACCCATAGGTGTGAGTCCCCCCATAGCAATGGGTCACCCAATGGGACGCACACTGCTCTCTCCGACCCACACGTGTGGGTCCCTGCCATAGCAATGAGCATCCCAATGGGACGCACACTTCTCTCTCCGACCCACATGTGTGGGTCCCCCCCATAGCAATGAGCATCCCAATGGGACGCACACTGTGCTCTATGACCCATCGGCGTGAGTCCCCCCATAGCAATGAGCCTCCCACTGGGACGCACACTTCTCTCTCCGACCCACACGTGTGGGTCCCTGCCATAGCAATGAGCCTCCCAATGGGACACACACTTCTCTCTCCGACCCACACGTGTGGGTCCCTGCCATAGCAATGAGCCTCCCAATGGGGCAGACACTGCTCTCTATGACCCATAGGTGTGAGTCCCCCCATAGCAATGAGCCTCCCAATGGGACGCACACTTCTCTCTCCGACCCACACGTGTGGGTCCCTGCCATAGCAATGAGCCTCCCAATGGGGCAGACACTGCTCTCTATGACCCATAGGTGTGAGTCCCCCCATAGCAATGAGTCACCCAATGGGACGCACACTTCTCTCTCCGACCCACACGTGTGGGTCCCTGCCATAGCCATGGGTCTCCCAATGGGGCAGACACTGCTCTCTATGACCCATAGGTGTGAGTCCCCCCATAGCAATGAGCATCCCAATGGGACGCACACTTCTCTCTCCGACCCACACGTGTGGGTCCCTGCCATAGCAATGAGCATCCCAATGGGACGCACACTTCTCTCTCCGACCCACATGTGTGGGTCCCCCCATAGCCATGGGTCTCCCAATGGGGCAGACACTGCTCTCTATGACCCATAGGTGTGAGTCCCCCCATAGCAATGGGTCACCCAATGGGACGCACACTGTGCTCTATGACCCATCGGCGTGAGTCCCCCCATAGCAATGAGCATCCCAATGGGACGCACACTTCTCTCTCCGACCCACACGTGTGAGTCCCCCATAGCAATGAGCCTCCCAGTGGGACGCACACTTCTCTCTCCGACCCACACGTGTGGGTCCCTGCCATAGCAATGAGCCTCTCAATGGGACGCACACTTCTCTCTCCGACCCACACGTGTGGGTCCCTGCCATAGCAATGAGCATCCCAATGGGACGCACACTTCTCTCTCCGACCCACACGTGTGAGTCCCCCCATAGCAATGAGTCACCCAATGGGACGCACACTTCTCTCTCCGACCCACACGTGTGAGTCCCCCCATAGCAATGGGTCACCCAATGGGACGCACACTTCTCTCTCCGACCCACACGTGTGGGTCCCGTTCCCCCCCCCGCCCGCCCCACACATCCGTGGGTCCCCCCTCACCCAGGTTCTGCCTGGCGGCCAGGAAGCGCGCGGGCTCGCGGACGTTGTCGGCCAGCAGGAAGGCTCCCTCCTCCAGGACGTCGAGCAGCAGCGTGGCCGTGTGCGCCCGCTGCGCGCCCCCCATGTCCCGCCACGACTCCAGCGCCTCGGCCCGCAGGAGGTTGTCCACGGCCTCCACCACCGCCTGCCGACAGGGAGGGGGCGGGGTCACAAACACGTGGCCACGCCCCCATCCCAGGACGTGGACACGCCCCCCTCCAAGGACATAGGACACGCCCCCATCCAAGGACATAGGCCACGCCCCCCTCCAAGGACATAGGCCACGCCCCCATCCCAGGACATAGGACACGCCCCCCTCCAAGGACATAGGACACGCCCCCCTCCAAGGACATAGGCCACGCCCCCCGCCAAGGACATGCCCCCATCCCAGGACATAGGACACGCCCCCTTCCAAGGACATAGGACACGCCCCCATCCCAGGACATAGGACACGCCCTCCTCCAAGGACATAGGACACGCCCCCCCTCCCAGGACATAGGACACGCCCTCCTCCAAGGACATAGGACACGCCCCCATCCCAGGACATAGGACACACCCCCATCCCAGGACGTGGACACGCCCCCCTCCAAGGACATAGGACACGCCCCCCTCCAAGGACATAGGACACGCCCCCCTCCAAGGACATAGGACACGCCCCCCTCCAAGGACATAGGACACGCCCCCCTCCAAGGACATAGGACACGCCCCCCTCCAAGGACATAGGACACGCCCCCCTCCAAGGACATAGGACACGCCCCCTCCAAGGACATAGGACACGCCCCCCTCCAAGGACATAGGACACGCCCCCTCCAAGCCCATAGGACACGCCCCCCCTCCAAGCCCATAGGACACGCCCCCCTCCAAGGACATAGGACACGCCCCCCTCCAAGCCCATAGGACACGTCCTCCGCAGAGAACACGCCCAGAGTCTCTAAGCCACGCCCCCTCTGAATCAGACCACGCCCCCTTAGGCCACACCCACGCGGCCATGATCCCGTAAAAGCCACGCCCCCTCCGATCAGGCCACGCCCACCATAGGAGGCTCCACCCACCGCGCCATCCTCTCCAGGACACGCCCCCTATGTGGCCACGCCCTATCTGGCCACGCCCCATCCACGTGGAGCCTCAGACCACGCCCATCCCCTCAAGCCACGCCCCCACCGCGGAGAGCCTGTGCCAATCGCAGGCCACGCCCCCCCTCCAAAGCCATAGGACACGCCCCCCTCCTCCACAGAGAACACGCCCAGATTCTATAAGCCACGCCCCCACCTGCGCCAATCGCAGGCCACGCCCACAATGACAGGGCTCCGCCCACTGCCGCATCCAATCTCCTCACACCACGCCCCCCCCCCCCCCCCAGACCCTGTGCAGGCCACACCCCCCACAGCAGCAAGCCACGCCCATGCTCTCAAAGCCACGCCCCCACCCCTCAGACTGTGACCCCCCACCAGGCCACGCCCACCTGACCTATAACAAGCCACGCCCCCTTCGCGTCAGACCACACCCATGCACTCAAAGCCACGCCCCCACCACTTAGACCCCTCCTCAGGCCACCCCCATCAGACCACGCCCACAACACATAGGCCCCGCCCACCCCAACGCTCCACCTCCATGCCTAAACCACGCCCCCTCCATCTCAGGCCACGCCCACCCACCTGCACCAACTCCCCCCCAATTCCCCGCCCCTCAAGCCCCTCCCACCCCATTCCGCGCCCCCCCCAGGCCCCGCCCCCCCCAAGCCCCACCCATGCAGAGGCCACGCCCCCCGCTCACCTTGATGTAATCCTTGCACGTGCGCTCACGCTTGTGCATCTGGGGGGGGGGGGGGGGAGAAACAACAGAACCGGTGGGGCCGGACCCACAAGTGTGGGGCTGGGACCCCACAATGTGTGGGGCAGGAGGACCCTGACCTCTGGGGCTGGGTTTTGCGTCCCCAAAGGCAGTTTTGGGGTGCTCCCCAGCCCAGTTTTGGGTCCCCCCCCCCCCAAGCCCAGTTTTGGGGGGTCCAGTCCGTGTTAGGGGTGCCCTGTTTTGGGGTCCCTTGGGTCAGTTTTGGGGTCCCCTGTAACTATTTGGGGGTGCCCCCGATCAGGCTTAGGGGGGCCCCGTCCATGTTTAGGGGTGCTCTGACCTTCTTTGAGGGTTCCCTGCCCCATATTTGGGTCCCCCGGCCCATTTGGGGCTGCCCTGACCTTGGTGTAGCTCTTTGGGGTGCCCCTGTCCCATATTGGGGTGCCCTGGCTCAGTTTGGGGGTTCCTTGCCCCTATTGGGGTGCCCTGGGTCCCTTTTGGGGGTGCCCCTGTCCCCTATCGGGGTGCCCTGGGTCCCATTTCGGGTCTGCCCTGACCTTATTGTAGCTCTTTGGGGTGCCCTGGCTCAGGTATGGGGGTGCCCCTGTCCCTGTATCACCCATAGGGGCCCCTCTATCACCCATAGGTGTCCCTCTCTCCCCTATGGGGTGCCCCTCTCTCCCCTATGAGGTGCCCCTCTCTCCCCATGGGGTGCCCCTGTCTCCCCCATAGGTGCCCCTGTCTCCCTATGAGGTGCCCCTCTATCCCCCATAGGTGCCCCTGTATCACCCATAGGTGCTCCTCTATCACCCATAGGTGCCCCTGTCTCCCCTATGGGGTGCCTCTCTCTCCCCTATGGGGTGCCCCTGTCTCCCCTATGGGGTGCCCCTCTTTCCCCTATGGGGTGCCCCTCTCTCCCCTATGGGGTGCCCCTGTCTCCTTATGAGGTGCCCCTGTCTCCCCTATGGGGTGCCCCTCTTTCCCCTATGGGGTGCCCCTCTCTCCCCTATGGGGTGCCCCTCTTTCCCCTATGGGGTGCCCCTCTCTCCCCTATGGGGTGCCCCTGTCTCCTTATGAGGTGCCCCTCTCTCCCCTATGGGGTGCCCCTGTCTCCCTTATGTGGTACCCCTCTCTCCCCTATGGGGTGCTTCTGTCTCCCCTATGGGGTGCCCCTCTCTCCGCTATGGGGTGCCCCTGTCTCCTTATGAGGTGCCCCTCTCTCCCCTATGGGGTGCCCCTGTCTCCCCTATGGGGTGCCCCTCTCTCCCCTATGGGGTGCCCCTGTCTCCCTATGAGGTGCCCCTCTCTCCCCATGGGGTGCCCCTGTCTCCCCTATGGGGTGCCCCTCTATCCCCCATAGGTGCCCCTGTATCACCCATAGGTGCTCCTCTATCAACCATAGGTGCCCCTGTCTCCCCTATGGGGTGCCCCTCTATCCCCCATAGGTGCCCCTGTATCACCCATAGGTGCTCCTCTATCACCCATAGGTGCCCCTCTCTCCCCTATGGGGTGCCCCTGTCTCCCCTATGGGGTGCCCCTGTCTCCCTATGAGGTGCCCCTCTATCCCCCATAGGTGCCCCTGTATCACCCATAGGTGCTCCCCTATCACCCATAGGTGCCCCTGTATCACCCATAGGTGCTCCCCTATCACCCATAGGTGCCCCTGTCTCCCCTATGGGGTGCCCCTGTCTCCCCTATGGGGTGCCCCCACCTTGTTGTAGTTCTTCCCCGCCGATTCCCTCTCCAGCGGCCGCAGGGCCTGGAGCTGCGCGTCCAGGATGTCGAGGAGCTGCTCCAGGAGCCGCACGCCCGAGCTCACGTCGCCGGCGTAGACGGGGCCCCGCGTGAGCCGGGCCAGGTCCGCGGCGATGCTGGCGGCGTTCTCGCCGCTCTTGATCTGCCCGGGGGAGACACAGTGGGGGAAGGAACCCAAACGGACCCGAAACGGCGCAAACGGACCCAAAACCGACCCAAAACACAGCAAACGGACCCAAAATGGACACAAAACACAGCAAACGGACCCAAAATGGACCCAAAACACAGCAAACGGACCCAAAATGGACACAAAACACAGCAAACGGACCCAAAACGGACCCAAAACAGAGCAAACGGACCCAAAATGGACACAAAACACAGCAAACGGACCCAAAACGGACCCAAAACAGACCCAAAATGGACACAAAACTGAGCAAACGGACCCAAAACGGACCCAAAACAGAGCAAACGGACCCAAAATGGACACAAAACATAGCAAACGGACCCAAAACGGACCCAAAACGGCGCAAACGGACCCAAAACGGACCCAAAACAGACCCAACAGACCCAAAATGGACACAAAACATAGCAAACGGACCCAAAACGGACCCAAAACGGCGCAAATGGACCCAAAACGGACCCAAAACAGAGCAAACGGACCCAAAACGGACCCAAAACAGAGCAAACGGACCCAAAATGGACACAAAACATAGCAAACGGACCCAAAACGGACCCAAAACGGCGCAAACGGACCCAAAACGGACCCAAAACAGACCCAACAGACCCAAAATGGACACAAAACATAGCAAACGGACCCAAAACGGACCCAAAACAGACCCAACAGACCCAAAATGGACACAAAACATAGCAAACGGACCCAAAACGGACCCAAAACGGCGCAAACGGACCCAAAACGGACCCAAAACAGACCCAACAGACCCAAAATGGACCCAAAACGGACCCAAAACGGCGCAAACGGACCCAAAACGGACCCAAAACAGCCGCAACAGACCCAAAATGGACCCAAAACATAGCAAACGGACCCAAAACGGACCCAAAATGGCGCAAACGGACCCAAAAACGGACCCAAAACAGACCCAACAGACCCAAAATGGACCCAAACGGACCCAAAACAGAGCAAACGGACCCAAAACCGACCCAAAACACAGCAAACGGACCCAAAATGGCACAAACGGACCCAAAACGGACCCAAAACAGCGCAAACGGACCCAAAATGGCACAAACGGACGCGAAACGGACCCAAAACAGCGCAAACGGACCCAAAATGGCACAAACGGACGCAAAACGGACCCAAAACAGAGCAAACGGACCCAAAACCGACCCAAAACACAGCAAACGGACCCAAAATGGCACAAACGGACGCAAAACGGACCCAAAACAGAGCAAACAGACCCAAAATGGCACAAACGGACACGAAACGGACCCAAAACAGCGCAAACGGAGACGAAACCGACCCAAAACAGAGCAAACAGACCCAAAATGGCACAAACGGACCCAAAATGGCACAAACGGACCCAAAACGGACACAAAACAGCGCAAACGGACCCAAAACCGACCCAAACCGACCCCAATGGACCCAAAACCAACCCAAACAGACCCAAAACAGCACAAATGGAACCAAAATGGACCCAAAATGGCGCAAACGGAGCCAAAACGGACTCAAAAGGGACCCAAAACAGCGCAAATGGACCCAAAACAGCGCAAACGGACCCAAAACCGTCCCAAACCGACCCAAACGGACCCAAACCGACCCAAACAGACACAAAACGGCGCAAACGGAACTGAAACGGACCCAAAATGGCACAAACGGAGCCGAAATGGACCCAAAATGGACCCAAAACAGCGCAAATTGACCCAAAACGGACCCAAAACAGAGCAAACGGACCCAAAACGGCACAAATGGACCCCAAACCGGCACAAAAGGACCCAAAACCGTCCCAAACCGACCCTAACGGACCCAAACAGACACAAAACGGCACAAATGGAACTGAAACGGACCCAAAATGGCACAAATGGAGCCGAAACGGACCCAAAATGGACCCAAAACAGCGCAAACTGCCCCAAAACGGACCCAAAACAGAGCAAACGGACCCAAAACGGACCCAAAACAGCGCAAACGGACCCAAAACAGCCCCAACGGACCCAAAAGGGACCCAAAACAGAGCAAACGAACCCAAAACAGCGCAAACGGACCCAAAAGGGACCCAAAACAGAGCAAATGGACCCAAAACATGCCCAACGGACCCAAAACGGACACAAAACAGAGAAAGCTGACCCAAAACTGAGCAACGGACCCAAAACAGCACAAATGGAACAAAAACAGACCCAAAACTGACCCAAATGGACCAAAACGGACCCAAAACCAGCACAAATGGACCCAAAACAGACCCAAAACAGCGCAAACGGACCCAAACGGGCACAAACGGACCCAAAACAGATCCAAAACAGGGCAAACGGACCCAAAACGGCACAAACGGACACGAAACGGACCCAAAATGGCACAAACGGACCCAAACCGGCGCAAACAGACCCAAAACAGACCCAAAACAGCGCAAACTGACCCAAAACGGACCCAAAACAGAGCAAACGGACCCAAAACGGACCCAAAACAGCGCAAACGGACCCAAAACAGCCCCAACGGACCCAAAAGGGACCCAAAACAAAACGAACCCAAAACAGCACAAACGGACCCAAAAGGGACCCAAAACAGAGCAAACGGACCCAAAACAGACACAATGGAGCCAAAACGGACACAAAACAGAGCAAGCTGACCCAAAACAGAGCAAACGGACCCAAAACAGCACAAATGGAACAAAAACAGACCCAAAACTGACCCAAATGGACCAAAACGGACCCAAAACCAGCACAAATGGACCCAAAACAGACCCAAAACAGCGCAAACGGACCCAAAACAGATCCAAAACAGGGCAAACGGACCCAAAACGGCACAAACGGACACGAAACAGACCCAAAATGGCACAAACGGACCCAAACCGGCGCAAACAGACCCAAAACGGACCCAAAACAGCGCAAACGGACCCAAAACGGACCCAAAACAGAGCAAACGGACCCAAAACGGACCCAAACCGGCGCAACAGACCCAAAACGGACCCAAACAGCGCAAACGGACCCAAAACGGACCCAAAACAGAGCAAACGGACCCCAAAACGGCACAAACGGAGATGAAACTGACCCAAAAACGGCACAAACGGAGACGAAATGGAAACAAAACTGACCCAAACGGACCCAAAACTGACCCAAAACGTCACAAATGCAGACGAAACGGACCCAAAACGGTACAAACGGACCCAAAACCGACCCAAACGGATTCAAAGTCAACCCAAACGGACCCAAAACGGCACAAATGGAACCGAAACGGACCCAAAATGGCACAAACGGAACTGAAATGGACCCAAAATGGCACAAACGGACCCAAAACGGACCCAAACCGACCCAAAGGGAGATGAACCTGACCCAAAACGGCACAAATGGACCCAAAACGGACCCAAAACGGCACAAACGGAGACGAAACGAACCCAAAACGGCACAAACAGAACCAAAACGGACCCAAAACTGCACAAATGGAACCAAAACGAACCCAAAACGGCACAAATGGAAACAAAACAGACCAAAACCGGCACAAACGGAACCAAAACGGACCCAAAACCGACCCAAACGGACCCAAAACGGGCACAAACGGACCCAAACCGGCGCAAACGGACCCAAAATTGCCGAAACTAGCCCCAAACAGCCCCAAAACACCCAAAACACCCCAAACCAGGCCAAAACACCCCAAACACCCCAAAACAGCCCCCAAACACCAAAAAAGAGCAGTTTTGGGGTGTCCCCAGTTTTGGGGTGCCCCCGGTTTTGGGGTGCCCCCATCGTGGTGTCCCCAGTTTTGGGAGGATCTCATTGGGGTGACCTCGGTTTTGAGGGGTTCCCATTGGGGTTCCCCCAGTTTTGAGGTGTCCCTGGTTTTGGGGTTCCCCTGGTTTTGGGGTGCCCCCGGTTTTGGGGTGTCCCCGTTTTTGGGGTGTCCCCAGTTTTGGGAGGATCTCATTGGGGTGACCTCGGTTTTGAGAGGTTCCCATTGGGGTTCCCCCTAGTTTTGAGGTGTCCCTGGTTTTGGGGTTCCCCTGGTTTTGGGGTGCCCCCGGTTTTGGGGTGCCCCTGGTTTTGGGGTGCCACATGTTTTTGGGGTGCCCCCATCGGGGTTTCCCCGTTTTTGGGGTGTCCCCAGTTTTGGGAGGATCTCATTGGGGTGACCTCGGTTTTGAGGGGTTCCCATTGGGGTTCCCCCAGTTTTGGGGTGTCCCCGGTTTTGGGGTGTCCCCAGTTTTGGGAGGATCTCATTGGGGTGACCTCGGTTTTGAGGGGTTCCCATTGGGGTTCCCCCAGTTTTGGGGTTCCCCCAGTTTTGGGGTGTCCCCAGTTTTGGGGTGCCCCCATCGTGGTGTCCCCAGTTTTGGGAGGATCTCATTGGGGTGACCTCGGTTTTGAGGGGTTCCCATTGGGGTTCCCTCAGTTTTGAGGTGTCCCTGGTTTTGGGGTTCCCCTGGTTTTGGGGTGTCCCCAGTTTTGGGGTGCCCCCATCGTGGTGTCCCCAGTTTTGGGAGGATCTCATTGGGGTGACCTCGGTTTTGAGGGTTCCCATTGGGGTTCCCCAGTTTTGGGGTGTCCCCGGTTTTGGGGTGTCCCGGTTTTGGGGTGCCCCCCCCGTACCTTCTGTGCCACTTGGTTCACCCAGGGGCTGGTGCAGTTGCTGAGGTCGGGGCCGCGGGGGTTCCAGACCCCCAAACCCAGCAGGCACTGGAAGGAGGCGATGCCTGGGGGGGGGCAGGGTGGGGGTCAGGGTGGGGGTCACGGGGGGTCACAAGGGGGTCAGGGTGGGGGTCACGGGGGGGTCAGGGTGGGGGTCGGGGTGGGAGTCAGGGTGGGGGTCACGGGGGGGTCACAGGGGGGTCACGGTGGGGGTCAGGGTGGGGGTCACAGGGGGATCAGGGTGGGGGTCAGGGTGGGGGTCACGTGGGGGGTCAGGGTGGGGGTCACGGGGGGGTCACAGGGAGGTCAGGGTGACGGGTCACGGTGGGGGCCACAGTGGGGGTCACAAGGGGGTCAGGGTGGGGGTCACAGGGGGGTCACGGGGAGGTCAGGGTGCGGGTCAGGGTGGGGGTCAGGGTGGGGGTCAGGGTGGGGGTCACGGGGGGGTCAGGGTGGGGGTCGGGGTGGGGGTCAGGGTGGGATTCAGGGTGGGGGGTCAGGGTGGGGGTCACAGGGGGGTCACGGGGTGTCAGGGTGCGGGTCACGGTGGGGGTCAGGGTGGGGGA